ACTCTGTCTCAGCTTAACCCAGGACAGGCGTGAAAAAGGGGGAAAACGGGCTGATTGTACTGAGGTGCTCGTTGCACCAAGGCACAACAAACCAACGTTGGAGAAGTTGGCGGATGACTGTCTCTCGTGGGAGGAACCCCACTCTAGAGCAGGGGAGGAGGGTGAGGAGTCTTCCCCCTGAGGAGGAAGAAGTGGCACAGACAATGTGTGATGAACTGACCACAACCCCTGTTCCCCAAGAGGCAGAGAACTGGGGAGGGAGGTTGAGGCTGGGAAAAAGAGAGGGGTGGGGGGAAGGTGTCATTAAGATTTGATTTTGTTTCTCATTGTCCTGCTCTGACTTGGTTGGACTGCAGCCTGTGATCATTAGGGGGGGGAGGGGAAGGTCCCTCCCTGTCCTTGTCTCACCACATGAGGTTTTACCTTTTCTTTTCTGATTCTCCTCCCCATCCTACCAGACAGCGGGGAGGAGTGAGCAAGCGGCTGTGTGGTGCTTAAAGGCCACCTGGGCCTAAACCAGGACTCCCCTCAAGGTCATGACTTCATCTTGGAGGACTGTACCAGGACCTCTCTGCTTGACCCAGGTCCAGCATTGTGCCCCAAGACCATGGTTTTGTCTTGAAGGAACATCTTGGGATCCCTCGTCTTGACCTAGGTACGTTGTGGTGCCGCAAGTCCATGACTTAGTCTCGGAGGACCACCCTGACATCCTCATCTTTGTCCAGGACCACATCTCCATCTTGGAGGACCACCCTGGGATCCTCATCCTGCCCCAGGTTCATCATGGCACCCCCAGGCCATGTCTTTGTCTTGAAAGAGCATCCCAAGATCCATCATTATGTCCCATGTCCATGTCTTCATCTTGGACAACCATCTTGTCCTCACCCAGGTCCTTCATCCTGCCCCAAAGCCATGTCTGCAACACAGGGAGTGTCTCAGGTCTTCATTCTACCTTTGTGTCCCCACCTTGATGTCCCCATCCCACCTGTGTCCCCACCTGTGTGCCACCCATATCCCCGCCTCCATGCCCTCACCACACTTCCCCATGACCCCCATTTCTCCCCACAGAGGGGACCCAGGTATCCAGGGTCAGGTGACTTCCAGCCACCCCAGACACCTAGGTCCCTCCTGGGCGAGGTAGGGGTTGCAGGGGTGGGCAGCCCTCTGGTATGGCAGTAAATAGTGGTGAATTCTGCTGCTGTGGTTCCTGTCTGTGGCTTACTGGGACCACTGGGCAGGATTTCAGAGGCCACTGGGGAGGGATTTGAGGTGTCACTGCCTGTTACTGGGAGGGACAGCGAAGGTGACTGGGAACACTGGTGGGGGTTGGAGGGGAACTGGGAGTAGTAGGGAGGTATTTGAGGGGCACTGGGGCATACTGGGAGCAGTGGCATGGCTTTGGGAGGCACTAGGAGTTGCTGGGGGAGTTGCTGGGAGCAACGGGCATGATTTCAGGAGGCATTGGGAGCACCAGGAAGGGATTTTGGGGGTGTGCTGGGTATACTGGGAGCACTGGCAGGCATTGCAAGGGATGCTGAAGGGTTAATGGGGGGATTTGGGGTGGCTCTGGGTGTTATTGGGAGGGCCTGGGGGAGGGGGGCTTTGGGAGCACTGTGGAAGACACGCGGGGGTTACTGGGAGGGACTAGGGGGGGGGGCCGGGGGAGTTGCTGGGAGCCTTCACATGTTTGCAGGGGCCACATGTGTCCCTTTACATGTACCCGGACGAGACACACGTGTCACTTCACACGTGTGCAGGGAACACACGTGTGCCTTTACAGGGGACACGCGTGTGCTCGGCGTGTCCCCACGCACCCGCGCCGTCCCGTGTCCCCGCAGCCTTTGCGGCAGGGAGGCGGGACCGGGCGAAGCGGCGCCATTTTGGGTGGAAGAACGGCCCGGAGGGGGTCTGTCGGTACCGGGGGGGCTGCTGGAGACCTCGCGGGGCTGGGGGGAGGGTGCCCCCCACCTCAGAGGGTTTTGGGGTGGAACATGGGGAAAATGTGACGGTTGTTGTCAGGTGGGGGTTTGCAGAATTAACTCATTGTGGGGATGGTGTTTTGGGGTGAAAAGGGGGAGAATTGGGCTGGTTCCTCCCGGTTGGGGTGAGGAATTAACTGGTTGTGGAGGATGTGTTCTTTGAGGTGGAAAGGGGAGGGGGGGAATGGGCTGGTTGCTCTCAGAGGTAGGGGTGCAAAGTTAACTAATGTTGGGGATAATGTTTTGGGGTGAAAAAGGGTGAGAATGGGCTGATTGATGCCAGGAATCGAGGTGCAGGATTACCTAATGGGGGGGATAACGTTTTAGGATGAAAAAGGGGAAATTTGGCTGCTTACACCCAGGTGTGGAAATGTAAATTAACTAACATGGGGGGGTGCATTTTGGGGGAAAACTGACTGATTTTGGTGAAAAGCATCAGACACGATTTTTTTTTTTTTCATTTATTGCCTTTTTCCCCCCTGTTGCTTCCTGAAGCCTGCACGATGGAGCCAGGGGAGGAGCCATGTCCTCCCCAGGACCCGGGTGACCGGGACGTCCTTGCAGAGACCTGCACAGGTGAGGGAGGGACACGGGGACAAGCTTGGTGGATGGCCAGAAGAGCAACTGGGAGATGGTCTTTTGGGGGAAAACCCCAAGAAAATGTTTAAAATGTGGGCCAGGAGATGGTCTTCGGCTGGGAATAGCTCTCCATGGTGGAGAAAATAGAGATGAGGAGATGTGTTCCTGCATGGAATAACACTCCACCAGGAAATGTTCTCCTTTGGGGAATGTCCATATGTAGTTGGACAATGGCCCACCAGATGTTCTTCTTTGGGGAGCATCCCTACGTGGATGGACAGTGACCCACCAGGAGGTGTTCTTCTTTGGGGAATACTTCTGTGTGGATGCACAGTGACCCAACAGATGTTCCTCTCCCCTCTCTCAGGTGCCGTGATGCGAGCCTGCAGTGATGGTCGCCCAAATGGCTGCATCAACCTACTGGGTCTCCTGGAGGATAGCAGGATGGCACGAAAGCCCTACCGCTGCACCGAATGTGGGAAAACCTTCAGCCTGAGCTTCAACCTCATCCAGCACCAGCGGACCCACACAGGTGAGCGACCCTTCACTTGTGGCCAATGCAAGAAGAGCTTCAGCCACAGCTCCACCTTGGTTGGACACCTCCGGACCCACACTGGTGAGAAGCCCTACATCTGCCCAGTCTGTGCCCGTGCCTTCAGAACCAGCTCCACCTTGACCAAACATCGTCGCACCCACACTGTTGAGGCACCCTATGGCACTCCTGAGTGTGGGAAGACCTTTGGATGGACCTCCAACCTGGTTGTGCATCTTCGGACCCACACCGGGGAGAAGCCCTACAGCTGCAGGAGCTGTGGAAAGACCTTCAACCAGAGCTCTGACCTGGTCACGCATCTCCGGACCCACACTGGGGAGAAACCCTATGGCTGCGGGCACTGTGGGAAAACCTTCAGCCGCAGCTCCAACCTGCTCCAGCATGAGAGGACCCACACAGGGGAGAAGCCCTTCTCCTGTGGGCAATGTGGGAAGCGTTTCATGTACCAGACCCGGTTGGCATCCCACCAATGGACCCACACTGACGAGAAGCCCTACCAATGTGGGGAGTGTGGGAAGACCTTCGGGCAGAGCTTCAGCCTCATCCGGCACCAGCGGACCCACACAGGTGAGCGACCCTTTGCTTGTGGTCAATGCGAGAAGAGCTTCACCCACAGCTCTGCCTTGGTTGGGCACCTCCGGACCCACACAGGTGAGAAGCCCTACGTCTGCCTGGTCTGCACCCGTGCCTTCAGAACCAGGTCTACCTTGACCGAGCATTGCCGCACCCACACCGGTGAGACACCCTATGCCTGTCCTGTGTGCGAGAAGACCTTTGGAACCAGCTCCAACCTGGTCACGCATCTCCGGACCCACACCGGGGAGAAGCCCTACAGCTGTGGGAGCTGTGGGAAGACCTTCAACCAGAGCTCCAACCTGGTCACGCACCTCCGGACCCACACTGGGGAGAAGCCCTACAGCTGTGGGCACTGCGGGAAGACCTTCAGCCGCAGCTCCAACCTGCTCCAGCATGAGAGGACCCACACAGGGGAGAAGCCCTTCTCCTGCAGGCAATGTGGGAGGAGATTCAGCCTCAGCTCCAACTTGCTTAAGCATGAGAGGACCCACACGGGAGAGAAGCCCTTCTCCTGCGGGCAATGTGGGAAGCGCTTCAAGGACAAGACCCACCTGGTTTCCCACCAACAGACCCACGCTGGTGAGAAACCCTACACCTGCCTGGTCTGCACTGATGCCTTCAGAACCAGCTCCGCCTTGGCTGAGCATCACCACATCCACACTGGCAAGATGTTCTACTACACCTGCACCGAGTGTGGGAAGACCAGCAGATGGATCCCCAACCAAGTCAGCCATCTCCAGACCAACACCGGGCAGAACCTCTATGACTGCGAGCACTGCAGGAAGACCATCAGCCTCAGCTCCAACCTGATCAAGTGCAGAGGGACTGAACCAGAGGAGAGGCTGTTCTCCTGCAGGCAGCGTGGGGAGGCATTTCAAGAGGAAGGCCAGCTTGGTGACCCACCAATGGACCCACACAAACAAGCATCCCAACCGACGCGGGGAGGGTGGGAAGACCTGCTATTAGCCCCGGTTCACCCACCACCTGAAGGCCCACCAGTATAGGGACCCGGTGTGTGACAAGCTCTGCAATGGCTGTGTCCCTGCTTGTGTGTGTGTTGGGTTTGTGTGATGGGGATGGGGGCTACGAGGGTGGCTCCTTTGAGAAGCTGCTGGAAGGTCCCCCAGCTCCAACTCAGACCTGAGAGAAAAAACTGCAGACACCAAGGTCAGTGAAGAAGGAGGAGGAGGAGGTGCATGGTGGAGCAGAGATTCCCCTGCAGCCCATGGAGAAGACCACGGTGAGGCATGATGTCTCCCTGCAGCCCATGGAGGTCTGTGGTGGAGCAGATATCCACCTGCAGGGCATGGAGGTCCATGGTGGAGCAGATAGGTACCTGCAACCTGTGGAGGACCCTGTGCCGGAGCAGGCGGCTGCCCGAAGGAGGCCATGACTTGAACGTTTGATGAACTGACCACAACCCCTGTTCCCCAAAAGGCAGAGAACTGGGGAGGGATGTTGAGGCCAGGAAGAAGAGAGGGGTGGGGGGAAGG